CCCCCCCGCCTAATCTGCTCCATTTGTATTTTCTTCCTTAGACATGGGACAGTCCATAAACATCAGCAAACTATTTGGCTGTCCTTATCCTGAAATACGTTTTCACTGCACCTAAAAAAATACCTTCTCACAGTCAGGTGCTGCTTTTTTTTCTTCTTATCCTGAGCCCATCTGCCTGCAGGTGTCCCGATGCTGTTGTTCCCTGGTACTTCGCTTTTCAGGGCAGGAGTCCGTTCTTTGTTTTTAGCTTGTGCTGTTTGGAAACTGTCCTGATCTATGACTGAAGGACTAGGCCAAAGCCAAAGGGCATCAGAAACGTGCTGTAAAGACTGTTACGTTCCTTCCCTCCATCTTTAGCAACCCCAATGGCCAGGCGGGGGTGGGTGAACTAGAGGAGCCAAGGCAGAGGCCGTGCCGTATTAGAGGCCCAGCTGTTACTCACACGGGCTCTTGCCAGCCTTTATGGGAAAGGTCAGGGAAGCTGGAGGAGATTTATTTGTCAAATACCACCCATTTTTATCTGGATAGTGTGATCCAACAATCAAAACTTTGAGAAACACTGGCTTAGGCACTAGCCCAGCAAGCATGATGAATGAAGACAATAACAAGGTAAGAAAAAGATGTGCCTGAAGTGACATAAAGTGAATTAGGCTGCAGTCCCCTGCCAACTCACTTTTGCAAGGTAGTTCAGGGAAGAAGTTTTTCTGGGATTATGCTCTCTAGAAGATGAGAAAAGGGGTAAGAAATTTTCTCAGGGATATTTTTTGCTGGTAGCACAACATCCCACGAAAGACACTGGAAATAGAAAACCTGCTGTTTCCACAAAGAGAGCTTCTCAGTAGCTGTCCTATAAGCATATAGCCTTATCCAAGATTTAATTCTGGTTTAGCCTGAATTGAGACATGGGCCTCTCTGGGGCTAGTACTAAATGCACCGAGATCCATTTTCAGCTCTGAGTGAGATACAGCTTCAGATGGCTCAAAAGTGTGGGTGCCACGCTGTACATCGCTTTTGGGGGCAATGAGCAGGTTTCAACAGGATTCTGGAGGAAAGATACTCTTTAAAACATATCTTCTTATCTTGCTGGTCTTCTCTCTTCTTCCTGAATCTTCCTTCAGGCTCCCTCTGGTGTTTGTAGTGTGTATTACTACCACCTTCTCCAGTCCTGTTTTTGGCCTAAATTTACAGCAGCCTAAGTTGAGTGACATCACTGAATTTTTTGAGATTCGTATAAGGTCGAGATGCAAATAGGAGTTTTCAGTTGGTTTTAAATGTGACACTTAGTTGACCCAGCTTAGATTTTTCTGGCTTAGACTGCTACCATCCAGAGAATTGAAAATTCACTTCTCCTGGAGCCATATATTTCTGCCTGGTAAATGAAATGATGCCTGAGGACAGCCACCAAACAGTTTGCCTGTGCAAACTGTCCAGCTGCTGCAGGGCTGGCTGTGGGAAAGGTAAGAAGCAAGTCCTAAGCATCATTGCAAATAATGCACTTGAGCTGCTATCAGTTTATTCCAGTAGTGTTTGCTTCTCTTTCCAGTCCTGGCTAAAACGGAAAGGCAATTGAAATTAGAGTGTTAAGAGGTGAATTATGGTTTTTAACACTAAGCCGCACTTGTGGATGTGACGCTTACAGAAGTGATATCCTGAGGCCATTCTCACGTGACAGTAATTACATGCAGAAAAGCCACCCCCAGCAGCACTCAAGCAGGTTAATTCCACCCACGAACTCGAGCTCAAATTCCGGTTCCTCCGTGGATTCCTCCCGCTCCCCACCAGCAATCTGTTACGGCAGTTTTCTGCCATTCCGCCACAAATCCCACTCGTGGGGTGAAATGCTGTGCAGCAATACCTGGTTTTGGCAGCATGGAACAATTTGCCGATTGCAGGCTAAATCTGCTTCCCTGTGCTGAATGCTGCAGAGGCTAACTTCCGGGCACCAAGCTACTTTTGTGAATTTATCACATGAAAATGAAGTGTTTTCTCTCCCTTTAAAATGGCTGGAAGGAAAAGGTTATTTAAGAACGGGTCCGTACATGCCAAACGTCCTATTCCTGGCATCAGCAGCCACCTGCTCTCTGCGCTGGGCAGCAGCCTGCCTTTTTGGGAGAGACAGACGTGCTCGAGCTGCCACTGAGGCTGTCCAAAGGAGGCAGATGGTGGCAAGGTGGTGTGATGGTGTCTGTGGGCATGATGGCAGGCTTGGGACATAGCCTCTGAAGTGAGTCCAAAGCCCAGGATTGGGCCCTGTACGGGAAAAAGTCAAAGGGAAAAAAGGCACAACTGTTCTTGTTATGCTGATCTTCTTTATTTTTTTAAAATAATTTGCTGGAATTATTTTGTTCTTAGAGTACATATTTTTGCAACAGTACCCTCCTCCCTTAAAACTCAAATGATTGATCTCAGATCTTTGTGGGAGTTCTTAGACTGATTTCAATAAGCTTTTTCATAGTCATCATCATCTTTATTATGAAAATCTATGTCCTGAGATGTTACGTACCCCAGTGGCAGCAAACCTGCTGTGCAATTCAGTGGATTATAATGCAACTTGCTAACGTGCTTGAAATAATGAGGTTGCTCTGTTCAGTGGGGTATGATGAAAAATAGAAGCTACTGCTGGGAGCTCAGATTTGATTTAAATTCCTGGCAGAAAAGGTTCCCTATTAAAATACCATTGCAGGTTGCTATGTTTGTATATTCTTTAACTTCTATTTCATGCTGGACAACGAAGAGGCCAGAAGAGATTTTTTTCTTACCTTCTGCCCAATGCATATAAACAGTATGTTAAATAGAGGCCTTGTGCCCTTCTGGTGCTGTTGGAAGTAAACATCGGATTACATTAGACTAAACGCAGAAACCGTGGCTGTGCTGGAATCAGTGGGAGATTTGAGCTTTGGCTTCGGTAGCACTCATCTTTCCCTGAGTGTGAGTGTTCTCAGGTCTAACCCTCTTCCAGGGTAGGTTAGCCCCTACCTCTTTCTTAGTATGGGGTGAGAAGAAGGAGCTGAATTGATCCCTTCCCACTCCTTGCCTATCTGGAAGTTGGGGAGAGGATACGGATTTCTTTCCTTTAACTAATGGGAAGCCTTTATAAGCTGCCCTTCAGCTTTAGTCTCTCCTGTCCATCTCTCGCCTTCTCAGTGCAATTGGTAGACCATCTTTCTGTAGATGACTCATGTAGTCCCATAACTTTATTTTCTGCTTAGTAGGAGAAGCTGGTTTGTCCGAAAAACAGTTCTGAGTCAGTGATACCTTTGGAGAAAAATCTATTGAGAGAAAAAGGTGCCAGTTTTACAGAGGTTTTTAGCCATTGCCTGAACCTAATTGGGCCTTACAAACCCAGCATGTGAGATGACCTATACCCCTTTTAAAAGAACGCTTTCCTCGTAGCACTTAGACCTTGACATAAATGCTAATGAACCCATAAAATGTCTTAGAATCTGGCACAGGAGCCTTCAGGGCGGCAAGCAAAACAGGAGATAAATGCAAGTGCTCTGTGTACATAAGGTTGCAGAACTGGTTGTGGCTGCCAGTTAATCGGATTTAATAACCCGCAGAAGTCCATGTTATTTCAGCTTAAGTTTGATTTATATTTTGTTTGGACCAGTTTTCTCCTTTATAGATGCCTAGCTTTACAATTAGATGCGCAGTCTAAAGAAGCTGCTATCTCCTATTTGCAATTTAATCCAAGAGGGTCAATTTTCCCCATTCACAGGGCCGAGGCGGCAAAGGAAGCATCTATGTCTGGGCCTCTGGAGATGGGGGCAGCTACGATGACTGTAACTGTGACGGTTATGCATCGAGCATGTGGACAATCTCCATCAATTCTGCTATAAATGATGGACGGACAGCTCTGTATGATGAAAGCTGCTCTTCAACCTTAGCCTCCACCTTTAGTAATGGGAGGAAGAGAAATCCGGAGGCTGGTGTGGTGAGTCCAGATATTATTGTCCTGTTGCTGCTGTCTTTGTGCACTCCCACGACCTATTACAACTCTGTCTGCTTTGGAGCAGCAGATGGTCCTTTGTTGAGATGGATATTTTCTCATCTGCAGTACGTGATCGTGCCAAAACTGTCAGCTGAGGAGAGGTGGGATTAATATTGAGAAAAGCAATGATCTTCCATCTCGTAGAGCTTCATATAGTTGGTGCTTTCTTTTATCAGAAACCAGATTTAGAAGTTCAGTTGATGTGATAAAAGGTCTCTGCAAAAATCTAAATGAAAAGTGTCAGCATCTGAGATCATGCTTACTTGTACTGGCAGAGCAGTCGTGAACCAGACTTCTGCTGTACTAGAAGCTGCACAGAGCAGAGAGACATTCAGTCACCTACAGAGGAAATGGGGGGGTTCAGATCACCCTCAGTCTCAAACAGAGCAGCGCAGAGCATGGTACTCAACTCCCCTACAGGGCCGTACCTACAACTGGAAAATACGCAGTTTCTGTTCAAGTGTAACTGGGATTCTCTTCCCCTGTACTGATCACTGCTCTTCAGCACCTTCAGACTAGCCAGGACATGGTTTAATTCACAGAGTGGAAAATTCAGGTGTAATAGCTCAAGGTCAGTCTTTGCCAAAAGCCTTTATACATTTTCCTTGGCCCTGTCTCAAACCCAAAGACACATTGTAGCATCCTAAATGCCCCTGTGCAGTAGCAGATGGAAAAATACTGGTTTCTGTCTTGATATCAGCTCTCTGCCGATATCAGCCAAGGTGATCTGTGGCACCTTTGTAATTATCACCATAAAATGTACTTCTAAGGTTTCCTTCTGGTCTGTTATAGCGACTAATCTGCATAGAAGATAGCAGCCTGGTACTGCTGTTGGTTCAGGAGTTGCACAAATGTTAGAAAGCTCAATACTGCTTACAGTTCGTTTCAAATCCTTCTGATAACCACAGGGGAATTTAAGGCCTTTGGTTAGACTGTGTTTGTAGGAAATAAATGTCATCTGTATGAGTTTATGACTTCTAAGTGGTAATGAACATTGTTTTCCTACATCGTAATTTATTCTTGCATTCACACCTTCTGTAATTATGTCTCGCTGTGTTTTTAAATTGATGCACTATTCTAAAGAAGAAAACAGATCCTAGGAACAAACACACAAGTATTCTAAAGAGCCTTTCTGTATTTTTCTGAGTCTGTAGCTGCAAGGAAAATGGACTAGCTAGTTTCATTAATTAAATCTAATATCATTGCAGGCTACAACAGATTTATATGGCAACTGCACCCTGCGTCACTCAGGAACGTCTGCAGCTGCCCCTGAAGCAGCCGGAGTGTTCGCCTTGGCCCTGGAGGCTAAGTAAGCTGTTGAGAAATTCTGTTGTGAGCTCTAGAGAGGAGAGGGCCTGCGGTTTGTTTAATGTTGTTCATCATACAAGTTGGCTGTCTGTGGCATGGGGCTAGAATGAGCAGCTAACAAGCTGCCTGCTACAGTAGTGACATGCTTGGTAACTTACAGATGGAGCGATAGTCTTGCCAAAGCCATACAACAGATACGTTTTGGCTGACTTGCTCTCTGTGTCCCCTCCATCCACTGCTTCCAGGGGTTTTTCTTCTCCAGCACTGTTTGGATCGAGAGATTATTTCATTTCTCCACATATCCAGTGGGGAGTGCCCAGCCTACAAAAACGTAAGAACGAACCTACGGTATCAGACAGGAGTTCATCTTGTGACACATACTGTCTGCACTGACAGATGCTGAGGGACAACAAACGGGGATTAAGACCAATCTTTCAACAACGACTTTGGCGATCAGTGGTTTGGGGAGAGAACAGTCAGCCTATCCTGTTTAATAGCAACAGGCAGATTTATCTTCCTTGAATTTGTCTAACTCTTTTTTCAACTTGTCTGTATTTGGCACCTGTATCATCCAGTGGCAATCAGTTCCCCAGTAGTAACAGGTTTTGGCGATGGTGGTGGGGAATGTTTCCTTTGTTTTTTCTTAACCCATTGCTGGTAATTTGCTTCTGTGCTACATAATTGCTCTGTTACGTGAAAGAGTAAATATTCATTGTCTATTTACCATCTCCATGCTATTCATGACATTGGAGACCTCTTGTATATCTTGCTTCATTATCTTCTTCTCTAATTGATTAGGAAAAGTTTTCCTTACAATAACCTATACCATCTTTTTACTTTGTGTTAAATTATTTTATGAAGTGAGACAACATTTGCTCAGGTATACAGCTTCAGTTGCTGTAACCACGGCATGAAGTGAGAACTAGGTACATAGTTTTCTTCAACGGTATGCAGAATAATGAAGATTCGGCAGAGGAGACAAAGTTTCTATCATTAGCAGAGCAATGACCTTTGTGCTCAGAGCATGACTTGGGCCAAGTCTCATTTTTCAGGCTTTATACACATAAAACACACATGCCAAGTGTTTGTTTAACTTTGGATCATCAGTCCTTCTACTATCCAATTCATTCAGTGGGACAGCCATGATGTAATAAATAATTACGGCCATAAAAATATAAAGGTTTAATGAATTTTCTGACCACTGCGTGTTTAACCTGGACTACAACCTTAGTATCTCAGTAATAATTACCATTCCTCTTCATTTGGGCTATCCATGAAGACTGGAATTACTCTTGCCAAACTATCACAAGTAGAAATTAGACTAATACCCCTGGTTTGTAATTGGGTTTGTAGCCTTCGCTGAGAAGGGCGGGGGCGAAGTTGGAAAGAACTGTCAGTGTCTCCTATCTCCTTCCAGGCTGGCTCTATTAAACCTCCATTTTAGTGTGCAGAACTAAATGAGTTACACTAGCCTTCACAGGAATGGTTAACAATTTCCCATGCAGACAACTGCTGCCTGCCATATGTCTCTCAGCTCATATACAATATATGTCTGACATGTCTCTAAAACCAGACCAATCTGTGAAATGGAAAGTACAGTTTTAAGGTACGTAGCAGCTCTTCAAAGGTTTCAGTAAGAATGATGCAAATGATATCTGGTTTTCCGCTATCTTGTGTCACCTTGGGAAAATGACAGTAATTGGCTATTCTGGTGTACATTCAGCATGCACATTATTACTTGGGGCAGAGAGCTGAAAAGCAGATCCTTTTAGGTTGATGGTTTGAATCAGACATATTGTAATGTTGAAAGAGTTCATCATAAAACAACTGGAATAGCTTTAGTTATGTAGAATTAGAATGTCAGTTCTAAAGCTTCCAGAATAATAACTTACAAGTGTCCTTCCCGTCATCATAATCACTGCAAGTCTAGGAAGACAAGAGCTGATGATGAAAAATGATCATCGAATGTAGACAAATGTTACTTGACTGCATCCATCCATGCTAGTATATCACGGGTGACAAACCTCTACCCTACCTTGTAGTGCAAACCTACAGCCACCCACAGCCTGTATACCCCTATTCACAGAATACTGAAATTACTGACACCTTGATTGCTGTAACTCATCAGCTTCATGAGACTGGGGCTTCTCTGGGTGAATCTTGGAAGGTCCATGGGAAAAGCAGGAGGAGCCGGCAAGGAAATAGAGGGCAAGATTTAAGAGGAAGGCTAGGCGAAATTCTGTCATAATCCTTTTCTTTTTGTGTTCTTTTCAGGATCTGGTATAATATCCTACTCACTTTATTAGCTTAAAAATTGCATGGTGGATCTATAATGTGTAGTTAAAAGCAGTTGTTTTCAAGAACAGGGAAACAATCAGAAATGATTTTGCAATTTTGGGGAATACATTTTGGGGAAGTACTATACAATTAAAACCTATTCTTGTTCCCACTGAAATCAACAGCAGCTTTGTTATTGATATGTGTATAGATACAATTTCTGTGTGATTCATAGAAGCAAATTTTACCAAAAGGCTTACTCAAACACACAGTTTTTCTTTAATATCTGCTTGGAAATACTGTACTGTTTGTTTTCCATGTTGCTTTTCCACAGCTTGGATCTGACGTGGAGAGACATGCAGCATCTGACAGTGCTCACCTCCAAGAGGAACCAGCTTCACGATGAGGTTCATCAATGGCGTAGAAATGGCGTTGGGCTGGAATTCAACCATTTGTTTGGCTATGGTGTCCTAGATGCAGGAGCGATGGTTAAGATGGCGAAAGACTGGAAGACTGTTCCCGAGAGATTCCATTGTGTTGGAGGGTCAATACAGGAACCTGAGTAAGTGAATAGTCTAGCGTACGTGTTCGGCTTCTTCCAGGCATTTAAGAGACCACAAGCATGCAAATACGTTGACAAAGACATAGATAGTCAAAGAAACATAATGAAAATTTTTTTCTAAGAAAGCCTAACATTACCATTCCAACTATTTCAGTAAGTTGCTAAAATAAACTACATCATCTTTCAGTTCCTGGTTTGCTGGAGAAGTGCATTCTACAGCTCATCTGTATCATCACTGCTAGTGCCAGTAGTGTTAATAGCAACATCCATTTCTCCTGAGTACCTACAGGTATGTTTGTGCCAAAGTTTCTGCAAACAAAGAGCCTGCGCACAAGTGAAAATCTGAGAGGCTGGCACTGTAAATTACATGAACTGCTGCCACATGAAATATCTGTCAGCCAGGTCGTATCTCTTTGTGACGTATTCCAGCAGACGGTTTTATCTCCAGAAGACTGAAACAATCATCTACAGATACCAGTGATTCAGTTTGAACACTACAGCATTTAATTGTGTTTGGTTTATGTTCTTCAAATCTCTAATTGCAGGCTAGGTAGTCAAATTATTTTCTGATTTACCTTCATGTGCTAAAATGAATGAGTCAACAAGGAATGAATTAATACTAATTGACTGCAACAGCTATAGTTCAATTCAATTACTTGAAATACTAATCTAATAATGGCCAATTTATGTCTATACCATTTGAAATTTGACTTTTCAGTGACATTTTTGAAGGCATCATTATTCTATTGGAAAAAGAAAGCAAACCAATATGCCACCCTGGCACATAGCTCAGCCAGGCAAAGAGTAAGTTTGTTGCCAACCTCCAGATGGGTTTGTATTTGCAGGATCCAAAAAATCTGAGTTTTAATTTATCTCGCCTACACATGCTCACAGGTAGGAAACAAATGAGAGATCGCTGGAGCTAATTTTGAGCTATCTCTAGTTTATTCATAATTCAAATGCAGACATATAATCTCATTTATCTTCGTGCAGCCACATTTATTGAAATGGGGATCATCTTAGAGGAAGAGAGAAAGTTTCTTTCTGTAGGCTTGGCTCCATGCATTACACGATGTGGTAGAGGTATTCTGGCAACAGACTGAGCCAGAGTCGGGCAACTGCAATGCAGTAGTATGGTCTCCTCCTTTGTTTTTCTGTTCCGTTTCTGCTGGTGAATGGATAGGAAAGCAGAGGGATGGTGCGTTTCCTCCAGCCTGGGGATCTGGAACTGCAGTAAAGCTTCCCTATAGCTGTCGTTGCCCAGTAGGCTCTGGAGTTGAGAAATACATTGCCTTGTATTGGTATCTTTTGAGAGCAGTGCCCAGAACAGGCTTCGCGCTTACAGCACACGCATTTGTAAAGAAGAGATTTTAAAAGCATGCAACAGCAGCCGAGTTATTTCAGCCAAGTCGGTCACGGCCCAAGCCTCCTAGCTCTACTGCAGTGAGTCTCAATGTGCAGTCTGTATGGGTGTCCCCCTATCATTACCCAACACATCTGTATGGTACTAGTACTGCTGCAATATTTATGTCCCCAAATGAAAAACTGACAGGAGATAGTAAGAATCATGACTTGCAACATCTGCATTTTTTGAATTACACTGTAAATAAAACTAGTGAAGTCCCAGCATCTCCAGAGATTCCTTGGAAATGAAAACTACACTGCACTTCTGCGATGGGTAATTGGGTTATTTTTCCAGTTTGGCCTTGCTGGAGCAACGTTTTCTATATATATTTTATATATGTTTATATAGATGTAGATATTTCTAGATCTAAAATACATATTCAATATATATTTAGGTAGGTGAGTAGTTGATACAGAAGTGTGTACTATAGGAGCATTGTCAATTAGCAGAAGCAGGCCAGGAAAGACTGGACAGCCTAGAATATACAGTGTGCTGAAAGCAATTGGTATTTAAAGTGCAGCATTTCTCTGCTGCATGTAGAAACACTTGTTAGCAATAGGAACTTTCCCTGAAGAGGGATCTTTGTTGGGTCAGCAAAAAGAAAAAAACGGACAAGTCTGAATCTGGCTGGTCCAGGGAGATAGAAAGATGATTTAGGACAATCATAGTCCATTAGCTGAGGAACAGGAGCATGGGAGTGTGCTTCCAGAGAGCAGTTAGCTCCCCCTGCTCACCTCTAACTGGGTACTACACTTCATGCAAAAGTGAATATATTTTTATATATATATCTATAGTGCAATTGGGTAGTGGTACACTGAGAGGGTGTAGAAAAGCCGTCTCCTCTTCTGCTCCTTTCGTGTCAGGCTTTTTCCACCCCTGGTTCTTTTTGTTTCTTTGGGGAAATTCACCTGGACTATACAGTAATTAGTCTAGCGAAGCAGTGAGTATTGGATCCTAATTAATAGGAAAGGGGAAAACAAAGGAAGCCTTTTCTCCTGTGTTTTAGAGAGCTGAAATAACTTTTGCACTGCAGCACTTATGAAGCTAGAGAGAAAAGCTGTCTGCAGCTGTCAGGCTGTCTGCAAAGCTGATGGAGTGGTAACACTGCTCTTATTTCTTTGGGTTTCGGTGTTGATAGAAAAGACTCACGCTGTGGTGTCCTCCCTCATTTACTGGAGGAGATAGAAAGCACTTACCACCAACTGTTGGAATGAAGCACTGTTTGACAAAGCTTTGTCCGCTGTGTAAGATTGCTATGAGACAACATGAATTCAGATTGCTTTGAGGACGATGCTTCCCGTGCAGAGAAATTGCAAGTATATGGGAACTGTGAGATTATCATCCCTCTCTGGCTGGCTTACAGTGCATTTTCCTTGTGCTTTGCACACAAAATAAATCTTGAGGGTATTGTATGTTCAAATATTTTAGCTATACAATATTTATGTATATACCAACTTCTGCTCCAGGGCATCCAAAAGATTCAGAAAAACACAGGTTTTTCAGTTTAAGGTAAGTGTTTAAATGTCTTGAGGACCTGGACCTGAAGGTCTTTTTGCTCTGCAAATACTTCCGAGAAGACAATACTCTATGAAAGGGGGGAAGAGACTGGCCTGAGCCAATTAGTGATGTACTAAGCTGCAATACCTGGAGCTCACCTCAGGAAGAAGAGAATTCCTGGAAGTTAGGCTTGAATTAAACGCTTTCACTGGTCTCTGAAGAATGCACTATTTCGTTAGCAAAGGGGAAGGGCTGGTACTCATTCCTTTTGAGAAGAAGGTATTCGTTACCACAGTGTGGTCAATGCCCTTTAAAAGGGACTCTCTTTCTTATTTTACTGCAAAACATAGGTCATGGAGAAGCCACTGGAAGAGGTAATGACAAGCTGACTGGAGTCTTTTGTGACTTACCTCTTTTTTAATGATTGCAGTAATTCTCATCTTTCAAGTATTTCTTTTAGACAGAGGAAAGAGTCACACTGCTCACAGCTCGCTGATGGTGAAGATGCAAAGACTTTCGTTTACACGTCTAGTGTAGTTTGCCAGCCAGTTTCAGAGGGAACTGGCAATGGCCACTCACATCCTGACCCCGAGGGGTTTAGCGGGTGCTCAGCAGCCTTGGCTGCTGCCAGGGCCCTGCTCCTGGCCAGGCACCGGCGCCCTTGGCCCTGCGCTGGTATCCCGAGGGGGACTGCGCAGTGCACAGTGGCTCCGGGCCTCCTCTGCGAGAGCTGGGCAGGTATGGATGCACCTTCCACAGGACTGAGCCTGTGTTCCATCTGCAGTCTAGCTTTCCGCTAATACATGGGACAAATGTCCTTCAGTTAATTGTGAGCTTGCCTTCATAAGGACTGAATTATAATCACCAAGAAACTTGTGACTTCAAAGTGCAGCACTTTGGCAGCTCTGTAAACAAGTGCAACTTCTTTCCTCTGTGCGTGTGCTCCTGTACGGGAGCAGTTCAAGGATAGCAATTTTAACAGAAAAGTATTTTTCAAATGAGCTGAAACTGGGATCCCGTGTTTGTGCTGGTTTCCAAATCAGACCAAGGATGTAGGCTTTAATGTGACTGCACCGAAATTCTGTGCAGCTGGCTCCTCTGACTCCAGACAGCCATCCGCTGCTGTCTTTTAAGGTGACTGACTGACAGGACTGACTGCTCACGGTTCTTCTACTGAATATACACGTTATTATGCAATTACCCAATATAGTAGTGATAAGGCAGCTATTAAATATGTTAATAGTTCTTAAATAGCAGTATGTGCTTCTTAATTGCATTCCTTCTCTTTGTGTAGGTGTACATTTCATAATGTATTTTCAAATTAAGGTTTTGATACCATCTTCTAAAAAGAGAATGTTCTCTTTCTGGCTAAGTTTGCAACTATTATTTCCTTAATTTTCCATGTATTAATGAGGAAAATAGTGTGGGTTTTTCTGTGAGGCACCAAAACCCAGTAGTTTTTGAATTAGCCATGTCATGCTGTATATATCCTTTTAATTTGCTTAATTATCTTCTGAACTGCAGAAAGATACCACCAAGTGGCAAGCTGGTCCTGACACTTACAACTGATGCTTGTGAAGGGAAGGAAAACTTTGTCCGATACCTTGAACACGTCCAAGCAGTTATAACTGTGAATTCCACTAGGCGAGGAGACCTCAACATCAACATGACCTCGCCAATGGGAACAAAGTCCATTTTACTGAGCCGGCGTCCCAGGGATGACGACTCCAAGGTGGGTTTTGACAAATGGCCTTTCATGACCACACACACTTGGGGAGAAGACCCCCGAGGCACCTGGGCTCTAGAGATTGGGTTTGTCGGCAGTCTGCCGCAGCGGGGCGTGCTGAAGGAGTGGACACTGATGCTGCACGGGACTCAGAGCGCACCATATATAGACCAAATAGTAAAAGATTATCAGTCCAAACTGGCCATGTCCAAGAAGGAAGAGCTGGAAGAGGAATTAGATGAAGCAGTGGAGAGAAGCCTGAAGAGTATACTGAGCAAGAACTAGTGCTGTTCTGCATGACGGTGTCTTTCCTTCCCCAGATCCCTCTACTCACCTTTCTATTATCCAAACCTCTGTGTTAGACATATTACAATGATCGTCTCTGTAGCCAAATTATCACACTTTCTTCATTTTAAAGTCTTATATCTCGTCAGTAATTATTTTAATTACCACTGAAGCAATCCTTTTTTTACTCTAAACCTCAAATATACTGTCCCCCACCGAATACTATGTACAGTTTGTGACTGTAAATGATTTTTCTTTGTGTCATATGAATGGGTAATAACCTGCAAACAAGTTGATGGCTTTTCCCTTCATATTTTTGTGGTAAATGTTCTTTGTATTAAAAAAAAAGAGTGAATTTTATCATTGCCAGTTGGTGATAATGGGCACATTTTTAAAAATGATTGTGAGAGAGGGAATCACAAAGAGGTTGGCTGGAGAGATCTTTGAATGTCCAACAGCTCCTTTCGCATCACTGACTTCAGTGGGACTTTCCCCATTGGGTTCAACCAAAGTAGCACTAGACCCTACAGACAGAAATAATCCAGAGGTGAAGAAAATTTACCAATCCAATATGCAGAAATCCAATTCTTTTGAGAGTTTTCTTTAATATATACACTTAAACAACATACACGCCAACACTTCAGCCACAGAATGGTTCAACAGGCACGCAATAAGGAAGGTAAAGTGATGCCAAAGCCAGGTGACAAGGGGAAGTGCTTTGCAAACAGGGTCAGGGCATTCTAGAAGCACAAGTTTCACTTTTGCTTTTTTTTTTTTTTTTTTTTTTTTTAAATTTTGGCAATTTAAATCAACTTACCATCTTACCGCAGAATGAGCACATAGGGAATGAGCTGTAGGATTTCTGGCAACCTGTGTGCAAAAGTGCATCTGCTCATCTCTCTAGCGAGATGTATTATAGCAGCGTAAGAGGAGGCTGTGTCAGCATTTCCAACCACAGACCCCTGTTTTCTGGGGTTTACAACCTGGCTGTCAGTAAATTGCAGTGGGAGAAACTTGAAGTACGCAGTTTCAGTCCCAAAGCAATTTTTTATTCGAAATTTTTTTTAAAAAATAGAGATTATTTTTATGTTATACAAATATATTTAAGGAGAAAAAATTTGTCTAAGTTATTAACGTGTTATGCAAAGCTGACCTTCTTGGGAAATAAAACGTAGTGTGTTTGGGAAGATTTGTTGGTAGTCATTGCTCTTTGCTGTTTAAAGAGTCAGTCCCACCTTCACTTCTCATACATGAGTAAAGTCAGTCTCTCTCACCCTTGGAGTCTGCTCTGGCTATTGCCGCAAGACATAACATTCTCCTTGGTGGGGATTACTCATGGTAGTAACCACTAGATGTTCTCAGGTGTGAGATCCCAAATTTAACCTTTGAATAATAACGGATCTTGATTATGCAGATATTTAGGCACTCACTTGCAGTGAAGTGGACCTACTCAAATTCTAGTTTTAAGCAGGTGCTTTGGATCTTTGCAGGATCCAAGATCCACTTTTTAGCAGTGACTAGTTTGAGAATTTTCTTATGTATTTTTAATATGCAGAGTATTCATCTAAAACGTTTTAATGAGAGTTGTCCTGGTTAATCAGGTGCATAGTAGTAGAAACATTCAGTAAGTAAATATTTATCTAACAAATCAAAAATGTAACCCAAAGGTTATATGGTGCACGTTTCAGATCAGCATCTATCATCTATGCTGTTATTTCTAGCAAATACCCATCTTTTATCTTTGCATAAAAGGCCTGTTCTTTCCTTTACAAATCCAAATGCAAAATAAACAGCTCAACCTACTCAGTGTCTATATGAATTACACTCTAAAGCCAAGACAAGCAGCCTTGCGCTACTCACAGGTTCCTCGTTGCGTGCAGCAGTCCCTTCGCACAATTGAGTCACTCTGGGATAAAACCGGCATCGGCAGGAGAAGAATCAGGCCCTGTGTGATTTTTGGTTTTGAAGTGTTCTTGGTTATTTGTTCAAATGCATTATAGTGCCAACAGTGTTTAATTTGGTGATTTAAAACCTAACCCAAGGACAAGATGGGGCCAGTTCAAAGCATGAACTGGAGTTCATGAGGCACGAGCCAAAACTCACTGAAGTGGGTCAGGGACAGGTTTGCTTGTGTCTTTGGACGTGAACGGATCGCACTGACGGCAGTAGGTTTCCGTGGAAGGCACCCAGTTCTCAGAAAGAGCAGCATATACGTATGAGGGAGGTATTTACCATATATATATATTTATGCATACACCTGTATGTCTAAATGCATACAACACACCTGTGGTATCTCTCTGTATGTGTATATATTACATACGATATGTATATTCAGGGTATGTTACATATATTTGCTTATAAATATATATAGAATTACATATGGTATGTAATGTATAATACATATACGCACATCATTACTTTTTGTGTGTATGTGTTCCAAGAAAGAGGTAACTGGAAGCTTTTGAAGGACTTCTAAAATGTTCGAAAAGTTCTGGAATACAAAAAGTCCATGTGGAAGTCTTAAACGAACGTGTACATGACTTTCCATTGCATTCATGTAATTTTGCAGTTCTCTGTTCAATCATTAAACATCTTATACAGCAGCAAAATAACTAGATGGTTGTTCATATTTTCTAATGCTGACAATAATTTATTAAGTAGTGAAAGATCACGATAATGAGTGATATACAGAAATGGTGAGTTTTGATATAAGTATATATAAAACTAAGTGTATATACAATATAGAGATCTACTTCAAATTCTTCAGGATTTTTGCATCGGGGATCGCTGAAAAATATGTTCAGTTAGACTAAGTTTTTATGGTATTGCTGATGGAAAATAAAGTTAATTTGTTAGTAATTATAATAAAGGGGAAAATGAAGCTCGTGATTTGAAACAGGTGAACACTGTTTAACTAATGCCCTGTGATGATGTTTTATAACATGAGTAAAATAAAGCGCTGTTGTAAACTGGCAGGTCCTATCATCATTGCCTATCCAAAGGTACACGGGAGGTAATACGCTGCTGTAAGTGGGATGACTTCCTACGCCTCCGCCTTTTACACTAAGGAAATTTGTATCCCGTCTATGCTGGATACTGAGAAAATAAACGATCCTCCAAAAGAGTTGACAGCCACAGGTGAAAACTAACAGGCTTAATGTGAACTCTGTGATACGGTGGGACATAGAAGATAAAGGCCGCAGGCTAGGAAGAGCCTTGGGCATTACTTACGTGGTTCAAACCCGCTGGCTCCAAGGGCAGCTCTGCAGAGGCACGCAGCGATGCGGG